CACCCAACCCTAACCCATCTCTAACCCCAACCCTAACCCCTCACCCTAACCGTACCTTAACCTAACCCTCGCCCTTAACCCTAGACCCTAAACTCTCGCCCCCACCCTTAACCCAAAACCCTTAACCCCAACCCCAACCCTCACCGTACCCCATCCCCAACCCCTCCCAACCCCAACCCCATCCCCAACTCTACCCCTAACCTGACCCTAACCCTAACCCTGACCTAAACCCTAAACCCTACCCCCTAACCTCACCCCTAACCCTACCCCTAATCCCTAACCCTAAACCCTAACCTAATCCTAAACCCTACCCCTAACCTAACCCCTAACCCCTCACCCTACCCACTAACCCCTAACTCTACCCCTAACCCCCATCCGCACCCTAACCTAACCCTAAACCCCTAACCCTACCCCCTAACCCTAAACCTTAACCCAACCCTAACCCCTACCCCAACTCTAACCCCATCTCTAACCCCAACCCTAACCCCTCACCTTAACCCTAACCCTAACCCTTACCCCTCACCCTCACCCCTAAACCTAACCCTAACCCCTGACCCTAACCCAACTCTAACCCTGACCCTAAACCCCAACCCTAAACCCTACCCGTAACCCCTAACCCTAATTCCCAGTGTCTATTGCCAGCTCAAGGGAGGAAGAGTCAAGATTGCCTTGGCACATGCATTAACTCTGTATTTCCTGATTTTCAGAGGTTTTGCTGGACTTGACATTCTGGAAAGAGGCGAGCTACCTCCAGGCAACCATAACTCTGCGTTAATTAAGATTTTGTCAGTAAATCAAAGGAGACACTTCATTAGGATTTATGCCATTCAGCATAAACATAAACTTCAGTGGTAACCGGACTTTGCAAACACTCTTCCACTATTTGTAAAACAAGAAGCCATGAATCTTCAGAAATACTGCTGCACAACAGCTAACCCACAGCCTTGGGAGGTACTCTATTCCTTTTACTCCTTTCACAACACTGATTTGCAGCATAACCTCCAGGCTTGACGAATACAGCAAACCAGGCTTTGGGCTGTAGAAATTAACTATGAAAAAAGCTCTAGTTGGTTCAGAATGCAATAGCCTGCCAGCTTAACAGTATAAGCATATGGCCTTTTGTGCACTGGATCTCTAAAACATTTATCTTCCAAACCTGCCACCAAGGTCATCTACGGGGTCTGAGCCAACAATCTCGCTGTCCATATCCATCATACCCCACAATGGCTATATTCCTCAGTGTGTGTGGGATGCATGCTATACAACCCAACCCCATCCCCTACTCTACCCCTAACCTGACCCTAACCCTAACCCTGACCTAAACCCTACCCCCTAACCCTACCCCTAATCCCTAACCCTAACCCCCACCCTAACCCTAAACCCTAACCTAATCCTAAACCCTACCCCTAACCTAACCCCTAACCCCTCACCCAACTCTGTATCTCATAATCCTAACCCTTAAGAATGAGGATGATCAACGGGACACAGTAATACCACGGTACAAAATATATCGGAAGGACAGAACAGGTCGTGCTGGTGGGGGAGTGGCACTATATGTGAAAGAAAGCATAGAATCAAATGAAGTTACAA